GGTGGTTCCTTCCTCGGCAATCTTGGCAGAGTCTCCCATGCACGCATCACCTCATACACATATCCTCTCCAGAAACATGTGCAGAATTTGTGGCTCTTGTAGTGGTCTGGATGCTTGAGCAAATACATGGCTGCCATGGGTCCACCAATTTCAGAGCATGCAGTGAGTGAGTTCACTATCTTGGTAATCAGTGACCGAGCCTTCTCTTTGGTAGACTTCTGACTGCCCAACAGCTCCACATTGCGCTCAAACACCTGCTGGATAGACTGGAACATCACATGGGTTTTAAGTGGGGTTTTTGTTATGTAATCAGCAACATAGGCTATGACAGACTTGATGGCAGTGCCCGACAGCAGAGAAGTGACATCAGTGTTCCCGCACATGAGATAGGTGACTGCAGGTGTGATGGTATTAATCCATGCCTCTCCCTTCTTCATGATAAGTGCACCTGTGCTTGGGTCTACCACAGTCTCTGGATGGGTCTCTCTGGGGAACCGGGCTTTGCAATTTCCATTTTTGTCTGTGCAGCCTCAATTATCAAATTCAGGTTTGTCAGACTTATCCCGATCAGCCTTGTCTTTCTTTGAGGATGCCCGACATGTGTGTCTGTTGGATAGATATAATATTTCATCCAGTGTCCGTTTGAATCTGATCCACCAGGATATATGCTTCTGACACTGATCACAGTCTGATTTGGTGGAGTGGTCGCACTTCTTGGGTGGTGGCTCTGGCAATGTCTCTGTGGGTGGGACTCTGGATGGATTTTTGTGATCTTCCTCTGCTATGTTCTGCTTCACACTCTCCATGCTGCCTGTCATGAATTCACCCATGTGCACACTCTCTAGATACTCCACCATGGCCTTCTGGAAGTCTGAGTTTGGATCCATGATTTTATCTCGAATTTCCTGGGGTGTAAGGGAATTTTTAATCCAGATAAGCATATGCATGTGCAGTGTTAGCCGACCCTGTTGTTCAACTGTCCCATAATATCCTGATGTTTGGCCATACAGCCCTGGTCTGTCCAATCCCACGCCAAGAACATGCTTGATAAATAGATCCACCATCATTTTGAAGAAGCGTGCACCAGCCACTGGATTATTTGCAATCAACCGCAGGCGCTCATTCTTGTCTCTGAACTCGGGTACAAATTTCAGATTGGTGTCTGCAAAATACAGGGCCACAGGGTGCTTGACATCAGCAGGAGCAAAGGTCACAAACCATGAAGGTGCACCGAGGTAGGAGACCAGGGACCATATTTCATTGCGCATATATTTCTTGCTTGTAATGGAGCCCTGCACCTTGTAATTGACATGATCCAGGTCATTCAATATTTTGAAGCAAGCCTTTTCATCTTCGGTCTCTGGTTTCATAGACCCAGTGCTAAGACGCTGAATAATGTCTGCCAAGGTCGAGTCTTTGATGTTCAGAAGCCGGTTGGCTATTTCACCAAACTTGTTCTTGTCTGCCAACAAATATCCAGCTGTGGTGGATTTTTCGATCTGCTCATGATTTAATGCAACCAGTGGAAACAATGGTTCTAGTTGAAAGCGCTTATCATGGTACATCAGAAGCTGTTGCTTTCTCTGCTCTTCAGAGACAGGCCGACACCCGCTTGCAGAATTATTCAGTCCACCTAAGCCATATGGAAATAACCATGGGAACATCTGAGGATATAGCTGAGGATTGTGGTATAAACTCTCTGGTTCTGCTGATTGACCTATGCCCAACACTTTGCCTCCAGATTTGAAGTGTTCAATAGCTCGTGCAGTGATCTCATATGGTCTGATTTTTCCCATGTGCTCAAGGCTTGCTCCTGTTAATCCATGCACAACAAAAGGACAGGCTCCATCATCTGCACCTTCATCTTCTTCACTTGCATTTACAGCTGATGCTTCAGGATCTACATTGGACTCCATGCTCTTTGAGTAATTTACAATCACAGGCGGCTCATCCTCGGGATATGAATTGATGTTGTCATAGGATATCTTAAGATCAGCATAGTCAATGTGATTGAGTTTGAGCCATTCAAGCGCATCCGCCACTTTGTTACGCCGTACGAGCATGGGTGTGCGCTTATACTCTTTGGAGGTTGGCTGATTAGGTCCAAGATATAAGAATGCTAATACCTCACTCAATTCCTCACATCTAGGTGGAAGCACAGAATATATCTTGGGCATAGGAAGCGAATGACTGACCACATTAGCACGTAGCTTGGACATGCCTGACATGTGGACCTTGACAATGCAGTGGTTATGTTTTACACGTGCTATCAGCATTTTCTCAGTGAAACTCAGGTTTTGTAGCTGGGGTGGGACCTCTCCAAGCCATAGACCATTTGCCAGACTGTCTGCAGGGGTGCGGCCTTCCTTTAGTTCTGATAAGCAGCCCTTGCATACATCCTTACAGCTGGGAAGAAGAATAGGACCGGGCATCTCAAGTATTGGGTCTGCTACCTTCAGCCGCTCACACCTAGTAATTGTATCATTGCTGTGCAGAAGATTTTCATCATATTCTTCATCAGATATAGGTGATAGTAATTTTTGAGGCACCAACTGAGCACACACTGCACATGCTGACTCAATAAAATTGTTTGGAAAGATGTCTTTGGAAAATCCATCAATTACTTCTTCTATTAATTCACTGGATACAGGCCTTGGTGGAAA